GAAAGAAAGAAAGAAAGAAAGAAAGAAAGAAAGAAAGAAAGAAAGAAGAGAGAGAGAGAAAGGAAGGGAAGGAAGGAAGTAGAAGAAAATAGAAAGAAAGAAAAAAGAAAGAGAAAGGAAGGAAGGAAGGAAAAGATTGAGTGTCTCCTTTTTCTAAATCATGTCTTCCTCAACCAATTTCTCTCCTTGCAGATTACAAAAACAATATCCTGAAGGAGAAAGCTGAACAAAATAGGATTCTCCCTGCTAAGAATATTGACTTAGATAAAGGTAAGTGGGCAGCAAGAATAGATGGTGATTCTCCCCGTCCCTTCCCCATTTCAATGTCCCGTTGTTTCGCTTCTGAGAAAATGTGTGTCACCCTCCTTGTTAGCAAAGAGAGAGGGATATTTGGAAACTGCTTGATGAAACACAGCCTTGCAGAGTTGCTCCTTCCCCAGAGTCTTTCATTAGCTCACCACAACTGACTGCCAAGGGGCTTCTGACTACAAGCCGTTCTCTGTGCGTGAGTCACTCTTTCCCTCCAGAAAAGGCCGATGGGGCAGGGTTTCAATGTGCCAACGTTATCTTTCGGGGACCAGAGCTGTGCCTGTTTGCTTCAGGCCCAAGAATCTTTCTGCTGCTTTACAATCTCTTTTGCCATGCCAGAACTCACACCCTAATTTTTAAAATGCAGATTGCAATCTAAGCAAATCCATACTTCGGCCTTTGATATATAAAACTACTCTTTACTTTGTTGCGCGAAAGATGCATATAGATTACCAATTCTAGGATAGTCCAAAACTTTAATATATTGTTTTTTAATATGTACTTCCTGGAGGCAAATTATATCTGATTTTATTTTTTCTAGTCTATTAAAAGTCTGTTTCCTTTTAATTGCCAGATTCAAGCCATTTATATTTATTGACACTAATTTTTTCTCTTCTTCCGTGGTTTCATTTATAAGTAGGGTTTATTGCTCTTGTCATTCTGAGTCCTCTTTCTTCTTTTGGTTCTACTCTTCCTCCTATCGCTCCTTCCTCTCGCACTGTCTCCTCTCTCTTTTCTTATCTCTCTCTTTTTCCCCCACAAGTCCAGTATATTAATCGCCAGGTGTCATCTGTTCCTATTCTTAAGATTGTGCAGTAATTCACTGCATGTTTCTCCACCGCCTTTGCTTTTTCTTATTCTTTTCACTTGAGAATGCAGCAGGCCTCATAACCTGGAACCAAGTTCCCCTAAGCACTTAACATCAGGGGTGGGATCTGACTGATGTAACTACCGGTTCGGTGATTTTACATGTTGTGCGTGCGTGTATATCGTCGTCATCTAGCTGCCTGGACAGCTGCGCGTGGATTTGCAGCGGTTGAAAAAGCACTTTTTTCCTGCTTTTTCAACCACAGCTGTGTCGCACAAAGCGGCTGCGGTTGAAAACACAGGAAAGAAAGGTCAGCTAAGAGCCCGGGAAGGCGGGTGGGCCAAAACAGCAGCAGACATAGAACCAGTTCTATGTATGCTCTCTGTTTGCTGCTTTTCAGAGCAACCGGTTCTACGGAAGTAGACAGAACCGGTAGAATCCCACCCCTGCTTAACATCTGACATCCTGACATATCTGGCAAGCAAACTGGGTGTCCTTTCATGGGTTTTAATTTGGTCTTGTGAACTTCCATCCAGCTGGGGTTTTAAATTAAAAATAACATATTAGATTCTATACAACGCTTTGCCTGTCATTTTTCAAAAAGTAGTCAGAGAAAGTAGTGAATTAATAGCACCTAAACATATGGAATTCTTGCTCAAAATTCTGCCTTGCCTAAAGTTTAACCCACCACTAATTCTAGATTTCTTCTCTTTTTTTTTTCAGAATTCAGGAAAGAAAATTATAAATGAAAACAGCAACTCAAAGCTACTGGCTGGACCAGAAGCTCCCTTAAGAATTTAAAAGTACAAGAGAACTTTGTTTTCTTTTTTTAAAAACGTCATCCTTCCAGTTACCAAGAAGTTTCTGTAGACTTTTTTTCCAACTTTGGGCCTATGAAAGCATACAAGACACGTAAGCTGTAAATCCTATGCACGCTCATTTCATAAGGTTTACTACCAGGTAAACAAGTATAGGGCTGCCCTGTAAAACTTCCTCTTTATTATCTATCTATCTATATATATGATTTTTTTTTAAGGGAGGGTGCAGGTCAGCTTCTTTTTTCTTTTATCTTGTGAGATTGCTTACATTCCCCCACCCCCCAGGGATTTTATCCCTTTAAATAGTTTTGTTTCAGTTGTATTGGTTATTTGAGATTTTTTAAAATTGCTTAAAAATAATAAGCTGAAAAATTAGATGCCTGGCTTGCTGTTAAACACAGAACAGAGAGCATATTTTTTTCCCTGGCACCGTCATTTAAAATATGCTGTTAGCAAGAAAGAGGGGACTTTTCTCCACTACTGAGTTAATGTGCTATCCATATCTCCTTGAATCAGGAGAAAACAATATTTTCCTTATTGGTTACCCCCATTGCCAATTCTTCTCCAGTTTCTCTTGCCTCTGTTCTTAATTGTCGCCTTCCAAGATAATGAGTAACAAAACCCTAACAGATTTTTATACTCTGTGAGACTGCCATTTGACGATGCCAAAATAAGGAAGGAAGAACGGCATTTAAAAAAAATCTTACGATGAAGGACAGCTAAGCTGATGAAGGCAGCTCCAAGAGTCAGGGACGAAATTGCCATTGTCAAGGAATCATTATGTCACGATAAAAACAAGCGATGAAAGGCCCGAAAAGAAAAGAGACCAACAATCACAACACGGACCAGGGTCTTAGTTGTGGGGAACACGTCGACGTTTGTATCCTGCAGAACTCTTCATCGGAAGCCTGCATCAGTATATTTTTTTCATCAAAAGGTTTGAGTCAGGAGTCCAAACCCATTCGCTCTTCTCTTGGTAGTAGAGTCTGCTTAAGAGGTATATCTGGGCCAGTCCCTGGAGTCTGAACCAGCCATAAAATGAATTAGATGAACTTGTCAGTCTGGGATCGTTGGAATAACAAGAATGTCCTCTGTTGGATCTAAAGTTTCTATCTATGCTGCTGCTTCCAAGCCTTCCTCACTCCTGTTCGTTTGAATCCCCTGCTAAGAATATGTCCCCGCTCTTCCCAGTATTTGGCTCAGAAGCAACAGGGATTTTAAAAAAAGAGGCAGAATTCTTGGAAGTTTTCCTTTGGAAGCCCACTGCAACTCGGTGATGGGTCTCTTCCTTCCAGTTTTCTCTTGCCTCACGCGATTATGACAGATAATCACCCGTCTCCTGCTGCACAAAGGAGACAAAATGTAGGATCCCGTGGTTGGTTGTGATCCTTGGACACTGCAAGACCCGGAATGACAGGCTGTATATACTGACAGAGTACAAGAACCTATAAGATCTCCCAGGTGAAGGGGGATTCCTTGATTCTGAATTTCTATCGCTTAGCTGGAGAATGGAATAACTGGCCTCTGGTGTCCCTCCAACTCAAGATTCTTCATATGTATACACAGTGGTGGAAACGTATTCATTCGCCTGTATTTAACCTCTGCTGAATTGAGGGAAAGGACATAGCTTTCGAAGGAGGGAGTTGAGCTACTCAGAGTAAACAGGGTGCAGAAACCCCATTAAACAGGCTATTAGCAAAATGAAAAAGAAAAAAGGGGTGTGTGGGGACTGGCTTTGATCAATATGTGTGCCTGGAATATTTCTCCCTAAAATCACTTTTGCAGTTAGAAGGCTCGCTGAGAAGAACTCTTTAAAGAGGTATTGCTGATGATGACTACCTGATCTGGCTAATAAAACGCTAAATAAACTCACTGATGTTTGGACAAGAGGTTGTTTTTTTTTTTGGTTTGTTTGCTTTTGCGTTGCTGGGTGTTTAGCAGAGGAGAGAGTGTTTTGTGTGTCTCTTGCGCTTGTTACGGCTTGCTTCGAAGCATCGCCTGCTGTCCAAAATTTGAAATGGGGTCACTTGGCCATCCGATCTTTCTGCCACGTTAATATTTTTCTTTCCACTCAGCTTGGCTTCAATACTGCTTGAAAGAGAAAAGGTGGGGGTAAAAAAAGAAGAAGAAGAAGAAAAGGATTGCTGTCATTTCTGCATGAAATTCAGATACTTCTTTTTAAAAAGTGGTAGCCTCTTCTCTACCAATACATTTTTGTGTTCTTCCTCTGATTTTCTGCCAAGTAAAATGGCTTAGTAACTTTTTCTAGGATTCTGGACAACACTTAAACATACTGTTGATATTAACGGGGAAATGATCCTGAAGTCACAATTTGAGAAACTCCGAAATGTTTCAGTGCATAGTGCTGGTTAACTCTTTTGCCCAGATTCAATTAAGTAGTTTTCAGCAGGTTTCAGATTAACAAAATGAAGATGGTTGCGTTGACCTACTATACAGAATTGTTGCTTCAGTGATTCAACAGAATGATAACAGACCAAAAAGTTTTTTCATTAAGAATCAGCTCATAAAGTTCTTTGAATGTTCTGAGGAAAAGCTGTAAAAAATTACATAGTGAAATTGAGTGATTAGCTGCTGAGATTAAAACTTGTCAGCCTTCAAAATACCAGCTTTACAAACTGCCATTTCTCTAGCAAGCCTATAGAATTCTTGCTTGCAAAAATGTATTGGATATATGTGATATGCCAGCTCCAAGGCAAAATGACCCATTATGCTTAGTTTGCTAACCATTTATTTTTGTTTTTACACCTGGAGAATGTTTATTGCTACCCTGTAGAGGGACTTCCAAATTTTTGCATGCTTACTTTAAACCAAATCCAAGTAACAATGAACAAATGAAACAGCAATAGCACTTAGACTTATATACCACTTTATAGTGCTTTACAGATCTCTCTAAGCGATTTACAGAGCCAGCCTCTTGCCCCCCAACAATTTGGGTCCTCATTTTACCCACCTCGGGAGGATGGAAGGGTGAATCAACCTTCAGCCTGGTGAGATTTGAACTGCCAAATTGCAAGCAACTGGCTGTAGCTGAAGGAGCTTGCAGTACTGCATTCTAACCACTGCGCCACCAAGGCTTTATACTATACTACATTTATCAAAATGGAGATGTGATTTTGGAAATGGGAAAGAAACAATTTCTCTCCTGCCATTTACTTTAAGGAAATGTGATATTCTACAACTTACACATTCAACTATTTAGAAGAATAATTTTTAAAGCAGAGGGAAGGAAGGAAGGAAGGAAGGAAGGAAGGAAGGAAGGAAGGAAGGA